CAATCACGATGGTCGGCCGAGACGTATTTCGATAGCATGTTTGTCAGGCTGCCCGTTTGTCTGGGGATGGTACGATGTCTTTAGCTTACGTTGGGTAGGGCAGGAACGCAGGATATCGCCAACCACTTTCGAAAGGAACGTACGGCCTCCGTCTGTCAGCAGTTGACGGGGGGCTCCATGCACTAAAATGCGATCGCGTAGTAGAAAATCAGCGACGTCCGTAGCGCAGCTTGTTGGCATAGCTCGCGTAACTGCATAGCGAGTCGCGTAATCTGTAGCAAACCGCGACCCACTTGTTTCCGGAGGCGGATGTTGAGAAGGGACAGAGAAAGTCCAAACCAACACGGAAGAATGGCTCCGGTGGGATGTCAATGAGCTGAAGATATCCCGAAGGGAGTCCCGAAGGCTTTTCGCGACGCTGGCAAATTTCGCAAGCGTTGACATAACGACGTACAAAGCGTGAAAAGCCAGGTGAGTAAAGTGGCGGCGCACATGGTCGTATGTGCGAGAGACACCAAGGTGACCCGCGGTTGGCGCGTCATGGAGCTCGCGTAGGACTGTGGAGCGCAGGTGCTTTGGTATGACCAGAAGTAGGTCGTGACCATTGGGCGATAAATTACGCCGATATAAGGTGTTGTCCTTTAAGTAAACTTGCGAACAGAAGCGTCTTGCGGTGAAGATTTGAGTTGTTGTATTAGGCGGCTGATATCCGGATCGCGACGCAGCTCGTCCCCGAGATGAAGCAGCTGGGAGATGGAAAGGACGTAACCTACAGAATCAGTGCTCGTAGGATTGCAGTCGGCCACAAGGTAGCGTGACAAACAATGCACATCTTTCTGCAGTTTTTCTGATTTATACACCACGGTGTAAGAATACTCTTGGAGGCAGAGTGCCCAGCGGGCGAGATGACCTGTGGGATCTTTGAGGGAGGCGAGCCAGCATAGAGCGAGGTGGTTGGTGATAAATATAAATGGTCAGCCGTATAGTTAAGGGTGAAATTTCGCGACTGCCCACACCAGCGCTAGGCATTAGCGCTTCGTGATGGAATAATTACGCTCCGAGGGGGACAGCAGCCTGCTGGCATAAGCTATCACGTGATGCTGCCCAAGTTGTCGCTGAGCCAACACAGTGCCTATTCTGTAACCGCTGCCATCGGTGCGGACTTTGGTCGGTGCCGTAGAGTCGAAGTGAGCCAGAACAGGAGAAGTGAGCAAAGTGGTCAGGTCGGAGAATGCTGCTGCTTGCGAGGGACTCCAGGTAAACGCCTCATCTGGTTTGAGTTAATTTGTTAGAGGCCGAGCAATTTCCGCGAAGTTCTTGATGAACCGCCGAAAGTAGGAGCAGAGCCCCACAAAGCTGTGGACATCTTTGGTGGGTTTTGGCACAGGAAAGTCTTTCACAGCTCGAACTTTTTCTGGGTCAGGCTTTACGCCGTAAGCGTCAACAATATGTCCAAGAATTGTAATGCGGCGGCGACCAAACCGGCAGTTTGATAAATTCAGTTGAAGGCCGGCGAGACGGAATACATAAAGAATTTTTGAATCTCTCTCAAAGAACGCTTCAAAAGTGGGAGCAAACACAATCACGTCATCCAGATAACAGAGGCACGTAGACCACTTAAATCCATGGAGCAGAGAGTCCATCATGCGTTCAAAGGTGGCGGGGGCATTACACAAGCCGAAAGGCATGACTTCGAATCGGTAGTGGCTATCGGGTGTTACAAAAGTCGTCTTCTCTCAGTCCATGGGGTCCAAGGCAACCTGCCAATAACCAGAACGAAGATCGATGGAATAAAAGTAGGCGGTACCATGGAGGCAATCAAGGGCGTCGTCAATTCGGGGCAGAGGGTAGGCGTCTTTCTTGGTGATGTTGTTAAGGTGGTGATAGCCCACACAAATCGCCACGATCCGTCCTTCTTTTTAACTAATACCACCGTAGATGCGCAGGGACTGGAGGATGGTTCAATAATGTCCCTCACTAGCATCTTGTTCACCTCCTTCTGAATGATGCTTTGCTCAAAAGCAGACACTCTGTGGGGACGGCGGTGAACAGGGTTGGCATCACCTGTGTGTATGCGATGCTGGACAAAGGACGTCTGCCCTAAAGATCGGTCGCCAAAATCGAAAATATCCTCGTAGGCCCCGAGAGGATGTTGTAGAGCTTCAACTTGCGGAGGCGGAAGATCAGTGGCGATCATGTCTACAATATGACGGCTGCCCGAATGTGTTGCGAGTGGTGTGCGCTGCGGTGAAACAAGGGTGTCTAAGGCAAGGACTTCAATTTGTGAATCGAGCAATGGACACAGGTGGGCCACAGAAATGCCTTACGGAAGCACATAATTCATTTAGCCAAAATATACAAGTGGTAGACAAGTTCTGTTATTTGTGATGCTGAGCACCGTGTAGGGCACTCCAACATTGTGCGCAAGGAGTACGTCGGTGAGAGGCGTAGCGTAATAGTCACCGTCGGGCACAGCTGGTGAGCACAGAAAATCGATGTACGCCACAGTTTTGAAGGGCAGGTGAACAAAGTCGCTGCATTGTAATCGGCATGTAGGTTGGTAAGGGGCGTCACTGATTTGTGGCAGTTCAAGATGGAGCACACCAGCGGTGCAATTAATCAGAGCAGAATTGGCGGCAAGAAAATCGAGGCCTAGTATGAGGTCGTGGAACATGTTTCAAGCTCGGCAAAAAGGAAGACCACTTGATGACCGGCTACGGAAAGTTGAGCTGTGCACTTACCGACTACAGGGACTGTTGCGCCCTCTGCAACTTGGACGACACTGGTCAAGGGGGGCGTGAGGACCTTCTTCATGAGACGACGAAAACGCGAACTCATAATACAGACGTGAGCGCCCGTATCTACCAAAGCTTCAACAGGTGTTCCATCAACATATACTTCAAGGGTGTTCCGATTCAAGCGTAATGGCCATAGAGGATTTTTGGGTAAGGTCGACAGGGCAGCTTCACCTCCAGAAGTTGCGCAGCCTAGTTTTTCGGGGACATGCGGCTGTTAAACGATGGCGAGGGAGAGCAGCGACGCGTATTTGAACGAGAAGGGCGGCTTTGAGGCGGCGGCGGCGACGGGACAGGGTGGCCGTAGTCCTCAGGGGCAGTAAGGGCTGTATACTCGGCGCGGGTCGGATAACGGTGGTTTGGTGGACAGAATGAGTTATTGTAAGCGGGGTACGAGCCAGAAGGCATAGATGGCTACTGGCTGCGGCAGTAACGAGCGATGTGTCCCGCGCGACCACAGCGGAAGCAGATTGGCTTATCATCAGCTGTTCGCCATTCAGACGGGCTTCTCGTTCGAATTGAATACAGACGGCGACGTCTCATGTCCACAGAAGCTATCGAGGGATCAGTATTATCCAGGGTGGTAGCAGTGGACAGGATACCCAGGGTAGCGAATTCCTGGCGGACAACAGCCTGGATCAAGGAGACAGCCGGCGTTGAGGCGTCGGGCAAGGTCGATTTGTTGGCAGCCGGGTAAGCGGCCTCGACTGCACGTCGGACGATGCACGTCACGTCTTCGGTTGTAGACGGATGACAAAGAGTGCTATCGCAAGACGACGTTGCCGCGGTGTTGGGTAGGCGGTGGAACTGTTGCAAAATGCGTCGACTCTTCGCCTTTTCGAAACGGCAGCACTCTTTGATCACGGCGTCAATGGTCGTTACGTTCGTAAATACAAGGAGGCTGAACGCATCGTCGGCGATTCCTTTTCAAACGTGTGAAATCTTTCGGCCTCAGTCATGTTGAGATAGGCCCTTTGACGAAACGCTAAGACATCTTGAACTTAAGTCAAGTAGGGCTCAGTGGACGTCTGTGTACGTACAGCCAATTGCTTTCGGGCATCAAGCCGTTGACCAAACGGGTTGCCAAAGAGGTTGCGGAGCTGTTGTTTAAACATTTTCCAGCTTGTGATTTCGTGCTCATGGGTCTCAAACCAGATGCGAGGGGTCTTGTCAAGATAGAAAATGACATTCGCAAGCATAACGGTTGGGTCTCAGCCATATTGCTTGCTGACGCGCTCGTACATACTAAGCCAGTTGTCCACATTCGCGTTGTCCTCTCCAGTAAAGGTACCGGGATCACGGGGTTGCGTTAGGGCGATGTACCGGGTTGCTGTCGTTACCAAGGTAGGTGGCGAAGCCATATCCTCACCCGGAGCCATGATAGCAGACTTAAGGAGGCGTGCACTGCGTAGCTCCGTTGTCAAAAGAGCACCCAGCACTTCTACCAAAATGTTACGTGGAAAATAACAGTAGTCAGTCCGCAGCCACAACGCAGCTCAGCGACAACGTCCACTTCTTCACTATCAGTCTGAGGCACCTTTCTTGGGTATCTCCCAATATGCTCTGTTTCAGTCAGCCGAAATCACGTAACAATAACAAAGCAAAATGCACATGTAGGCGCTTGAAGACTAAGATTTTTTGTCGAAGTAAATGCACATAAAGAAGGTTGATAAACTAGCAGTAAAACTTTGCGACGTAGGCTGAGCCACTTGTTCATTTGTTAGTAAGTTCGAGTCATTTGCTTGGTGCTGTGTAATCATAGTTCTAACGTAGTTGTAAAGATGGCCATATTTTCTGCCTAGAAACTGTTGTTTGCGCTTCCTGTTTCTAGGTGTTTCCTCTTGTCCCCCTGTTTTTTTTTTCGCAGCAGTCTACATTCATATCTTCTTGTGTTTGCGCTAGAAGGTACGTGTCATGCAAGAAATGGCGGAGAGAAAAATAACTTTCCGCTAGCAAAGAAATCGTTGCAGTCCTTCGGAAGAGAAGAGGAGCACAAGTACAGCGTAATACTCAAACCACAGAGCCACTTCTTTATCTAACCAATGAAAGAGAGACGTTGAAAATCCCTTACCTTATAAGTGGTAATTACTGTGGCCATTTTTGTACATGTCCCACTGTTCTCATTATGTCCCCATGATCATCATTCACTCCGTGGATATTTTGTGATTTTTTATTGCGTCTTGCTTCCGGCGCTTTTGTACTCAGGTCCATCGTTGTGGTGCTGCACGGTGGTGGCTTCCGCAAGGGGTCAAACTGTCATCCTCTGTATGATGGCCGTTGGCTGGCGGCCTTTGGTGACGTGGTTGTCGCCGTGCCCAACTACCGCCTAGGACCGCTGGGATTCCTAGGCGCCGGTGAGAGAAAGCCGGACGCGCCCGGAAACCAGGGACTCTGGGACCAGCTGCTCGCCATGCAGTGGGTTCGCGCTAACGCGGCCTCCTTTGGCGCTAATTCTCGCAAGATTACACTACTGGGCGTAGACAGCGGCGCCATCAGCGCAGGTCTGCACCTTCTGTCGCCGCTGAGTCGGCAGTTCTTCGAACGCGCAGTCCTCGCAGGTGGCAGTCCTTTCATCATGAGCCGCTACAGCGCTTTCGCCGAGTTGGACGAGCTGCAAGAGCTAGCGGCCACCGTGTGCGATGATCCATCAGCGCTGCCACCAGCAATGGTGGAGGAGGAAGAGCAGGCCCCGAAGAAGACGTCCATGGCTTGCCTTCGCGCAGCCACCGCCGAACACATCGTCGAAAACTTGGACGAATTCAACGGCGTGAGTGCGCGGTCTTTCGGTCCCATCTACGGCGCGAATGACAGCGCCGAGGACGACTTCTTCCTACCGACAGCCGCGGGAGACTCGTACCTTCTTCCAGACGAAGAAGGAGTCGGTGGGATTTTTGGCGGCAAAGCGTTGGTCATCGGCTATACTTCCAACGAAGGCGAGTATTTCCTGCGCCAGTTCGTCGATCGGTGGGACTTGGAGAGTGCGGATAACCTGCCTAGACCTCTGGTGCGCCTGCTGCTCGACAGGCTGGTGCTCCACTTTTTCGGCGAAGACCAGCTGAGTAATCTCAGAGCGCTATACTTCGGTGATTTGGTCTCGGACAACGACAGCTCGTCCTTCACGTCGGCCGCCGACGCCTACTTGCAGGCCGCGTCATTTCTTGGCGACGTGCTCGTCAAGTGCCCAGCAAGAATGATGGCGGAACTTGCGTCTGCCGGTGGCGCGAACGTTTACCTCTACGAACTTGATTACAACGTCAACTCGCTCGCTCTAGACGAGGGAGACCCGCTACGCGGTCGTTGGTCCGGCGCGCCCCACTACACCGACGCGCTCTTCATGCTCGGCTTCTTTCTTGGTCGAGATTTAGATACTGGCAACCACGCCCTCGCAACTAGCCGCCGCATGATGGGCAAAGTGGGTGCTTTTGCCCGAACAGGGTACGTTGCTCGCACGTGAAACTTGGTTATTTGGCAGATCAGACAAACAACAAACACATGCTTGCGTGATGATGGTCTGGTGAAATTATGGTGCAAAGAAGAAATATAGCCGAATAGCAGCCGAAAAGTGACGAATAGTTTTCAATGCAGTTAGGAATTCCGATTGGTAAATGTGATATTTCCGTAAAAGGCTTCGTGACAGCTGTTGTGAGTAGCGTAATATATACGTGCTCGAAGTAAATATCCATACTTCGTATACGCTATTCATGTGACTCTGTAGATTGAACACTTTTCGGAATTGTTTGGTATTTAGGAATTACAGAGAGGAAAGGGAATGATTCTTCTAGTTTAAATATATTTCGGAGTAACTTGTTCTGCGATTAGACTTGCAGCACAGTAGTTTAGCAGGAGATGCGGTGGTAGTACAATATTTTTGGTGTAGGCACCTATGAACTCTTTCATGCAAGGGTCCTGTTTTGGTAGCACCGGTTAGCACTGCTGGTGTGTTTGAATATCTTGCTCTTGAGAGATGAATTTCTTTATTGTAGGTTTGTCCTATAGCTCTAATGATGCTTTCTTGCAGTGCTTTGCGGAGTAGCTGGTAAACCCTAACTAGCAAATTATGGTTGTAAAAGCGGAATTGGCATGTACGATAGATGAGAAATTCCCGTGATACGAGAATCACACTTGTACTGTTTTCACAGAATACGCAAAGTGTTGGACGCAGTATAGATACTGAGGGTTTCGGAGTCGCATCGTCGTATATGATTACTTGAAGCATACGTGAGCTGGTTATCAAACATATGCGATGATGCACAGCTACTCTGCTCTTCTTCTTCACAAGAAACGGAAGTACATTCTTATCAAGAAAGCTAATCCAAAACTGGGAACCGACGGCTCGAAACGTTGCGACATACAGGTTGTCTGAACAGGGAAAACTTTCTGAGAGAGGTACGCATGTTTAGGTGGGTGTAAATATCTTTGTCAGAGTTTTCAGACAAGGAGGTCTGAATGATTGGAATGATTGGAAGTTACATTTATAGGTCTACGTTTGTAATGAATAGAAATAATAGATATTCACGGATTTACCTAACGAAACGGAACAAGTGAAAAGTGAACATAGAAGGAGCGCGTCATATCTCGTTGGCTTTATGTTTTTCTAGTGCTGGCAGTCAAAGCTTCGCAAGTTAATGGAGATAACCTCAGGAATCACGCTCGTCAGCAATACTGGCAACTACTTTCAAAATATGACTGAATAAGAAAAGCGAAATAGTGTGAACTTAATGTGCAAAAAAATATTTTGGCCTCAGGATGGTGCCTTGAGAGCCAGTGGTCAGCTGAGTCTCTCTGAGACGACGTAGTGTGCGAGCGGCCTTGAAAACGCAGCTTTTACTGGTCGTAGAACCCAGGCCAGTACCTATCACTTCGTTTGGATGGAAGCTGCTTTGTCATGAATCAACGATAAGCAAATGTTCAGCAGTTACACTTAACCACTTTATTATTTAGGCTGACCAATTCAAATCTTGTCACGAAGTTCCAAACGGTTTGTTATTTTTTAAAACAAAACCAAAACACTGCAATGAACGAAGGCAAAAGTGCGTTCGCTGCCCGGGAGCATAAAGACTGGGCAAAATTATGCACTACCTATTATTTTCATGGTCGCTGATCAATCGGACCACCAGAGTCTCCTCTAGTTAAATTTAGGAAATACTCGGTGGAACCTAGGCTGCTTGCTCGTAGCTCAGTCGACCGAGCGAAGTCCGGATGGTGAAGAAAGTTGCGCAGCCGCAGTCGAAGTCTCCAATACCACAATACTTTTTGAAGGGCGAATGATGAAAACTCAATTTGGGATCGGCAAGCGCCACCTAGAATCTTGAAGAGTAGATTGGAATAAGTCGGTTACTAGGAGAGACGCCTACTTAGGGGATGAAAACTCCCCATAGAGATCACAGTAAGATGTATCACAAGATAGACCATACATTATTTCTCAGGAATATATATTAGGACCCTCATATATCTTACTATAGGTTATTGATTTACCTAATATCTGCTCATATAAATGCAGACAGCGCAGATGACCGCACCTATATTTTCACGTGGTCGTGACGCTGACGAAGGCAGAGACGGCTTAGCCAACGTGATACTTATATTGGCTGAACTTGTGGCCAGTGAACGAAAAGTCAGAATACAGTGATACATACTGGCAGTGATAGCGAAAAACAGACCGTCGATTGTCGGTGAACTGACATGCTGGGATGCGCGTGGGCATTTATAGATGTGCCGTCGAATATTCCAGCGTTATCACTAGTGGTCACGTAAGTTCCTGAATACTCCGTAATGTTCTCGTTGCAACTGTAATCCTAACAGAATGATCTACTACAGCCCTGGTGCTATTTGAGCACTGCAGGTGTGGTTTGCGCTGAACATCACTTATAGTTTAACGGGGCGATAAAAAAAAACTCGAGGAAGGAATGCGAAATATAAATCCATTGATGATTGTTACCGCAAAATAACATACCTTACCTTGCATTTTTGCGATTGCTGGTAGCAAATTAACATAAACTGTAAGAAAACAGCCATCATGATACTAAACAGTGAACGCACTTCCTCCAATTTGGACTCTTTGCAAGATTACATTCAACCTAACAGAGTTATTTAGGAGTCAATCTTCTAGAACACATCTCTTAGAGTGAGCAATGCATTTGTAGCATCTAGGATTCTAAATTATTAGGTCATTTGCGTGGCCTCTTATATACAACGCCTCGGATTACTGAACATTTTGTATTAATCACTGAATGGCCTTGTTTCTAATGTGCACCCGTCGTTTATAAACATTATGAAAGAAAATTATTATGAAAGAAATAATATCCTTTCAATATTCTATAACTACAGCCGCAACTTCGTACCGACTCTTACCATACAGTCATTGAACATTAAATCATAACTCTCACAAAATGAAATTGAAACTTTACAATTTTTATAAGCGATTATCAACCTTTCCTAAGGCTTTTCTGACAGTAATGTTGCCATGTTTACTACCGAAGGTTGTACCTACAGTACACACGTTACTAACGTAACAGCTTTCTTTGCTCATACTAATACGTCTAAATACTTATTTTTACCACTTGCATTACAGCTTTGGAAGCTGTTCTTTGGTAATAATCTCTGTTTTCTACTAAAAAAGTTCAAAAAGCAAAAAGGTTATTTGAAAGATAGGATATTGGAGACGTGTCCTCTTGTGTCAGCCAATCCAGTGCAGGAAGAATAGCGCTTTTGACGATCTCCCATGTCACCTAATTACATTTTGTCCCAGTGAACTTCTTTACTTCGTCACTCCATCCAACTCTCTGCCAAACTTAACAGCTGTTTTCCATTCTTTGTCAACCATCCTGTCGCTCTCTCTATTCACGCGTTGTATGTCCTATAGGAATTATACGTCATGACTCCGAGCTCTTTTTGTTAGCTTTATGCCAAATGGAAAATCAGCAGCCCCTGTTTGTACTCTGACCCATCCCGCTTTCATCCGATATGTTACTGTCAATCACATGATTTTCCGCGCCATTGCACGCTACGCAATCCTCAAATTTTTGTACGATGTCTTATTATCCTCCGTGTTTTAGCACCACTTGTTGAAACGGGCAGTAGTAGTAGTAGTACAAAACTTTATTATATACATAATCCAGACAGGCTTGAACTCCAGTGCCCCAAGGAATATACGGGGTGGAGAGCGAAGTCTGTCCGGCAGGGTGGTGCCCCTATTCCAAAGCCCCACTGGCGCGAGCCATCCGTTCAGCTCTGTGGATCAGTCGCAGCTGATCCACTAGGGCTGGGCTAGATAGCAGCACCTCCCATTCCTCCCACGTGCCAGTGGTGTTGTCTTCTTCGTCGTGCTCTGCACACTCCCACGTGATGTGAAAGAGTGTTGGGGTGGCTCCACACCACGGGCATATATCTCTGTACGCTGTGGGGTAGATTTTTTTTGCTTTATATACAGTGGTAGATTTCCTGATAAAATTTGGGAGTACCTGTGAAATGAACGACCACCTACTTTTATTCTTCAATAAATTTTCCACTGACGACAATAGGCTTTTCCGTTACTACTTCTGCTAAGTATACGTGTTATACACACTCTAATGTAGCGTTCTTATTTTACTAATAAAGAGAATGGCCAGGCAAGCATATATAATGGCACCAAACACTCTTTATTTCAGTCGTGTTTTGCCAGATTAGTATTTTTTCGCACAATTCTCGAAGCGCGCGAAGCACGTGCTTTAGGTGTGCGATGCAAAGGAGCTAAAACATCGTTCGCGAACAAGCGAGACGGCTGTAGGCCTTCAAGCCATTCAGTTTTCCAACAACTGCGCCCTCAGTGACCAAGGTTTAAGCATCTGCAGCAGACTTGTTTTCAATTTAGATGCGAAGCAGCTCTTTGACTAGCCTGTGTAACGCTGTCCATCCGTACAAACACACGGTGCGCCGCGGGTGTTAGAACGGTGCCAAGCAGGTTACGCCACTGCTTCACGTTGACATCACGCTGCCGTCGCAGTGGGTTCTGACGTCACATTTCGCTCATCTGCGACACACTCAGCGCGTGCACCCACAGCTGCCGCCTCGTCCGTTCACCCACAACACCTGCCACGACCGCCGCTTGCAACACCACCAACTCGTTGGTTCACGTGCAATAAATTTGACGCGAGCCTAACATTCGTGTATACATAAGTACGTGTCACCTACAAGACCTTCACCAGCTATCGCCTCAAACGAAACTTGCAGCGCTCACCACAGCACCCGTGTTATCGCCGTTGTATACCCGTGACACCAGCCGAGTGCAACGCTGCTGCTTCACATCTTATCAGGGTTTTCTTCGGGGGTTGGTCCTAGTTCTTTAGTTGGTGCACGCAAGACCACATCGATAGTGAAAAACTACGTCTTTCAATTTGGACACCTGCCTTAGGAACTGCGGGGTTGCCATCCATACTCCGATTAGCGAACCAGGTTTATTCTGCAGCAAATGAGGTGCTACGCAATTCTATTTCAATTGATTGATATGTGGGGTTTAACGTCCCAAAACCACCATATGATTATGAGAGACGCTGTGGAGGGCTCCGGAAATTTCAACCACCTCGGGTTCTTTAACGTGCACCCAAATCCGAGCACACGGGCCTACAACATTTCCGCCTCCATTGGAAATGCAGCCGCCGTAGCCGGGATTTGATCCCGCGACCTGCGGGTCAGCAGCCCAGTACCTTAGCCACTAGACCACCGCGGCGGGGCGCAATTGTATTTCAACCGTGGGAGTATGTAGCACGGGAGCCTACCGAACTCCATGGATGCTATCACTGTTTGCCGAGTGACGACAATCATCCTCGGTACATGTGGTACTCAGTTGCTTCATTTGGTCTTCGGGCAATGTGCGCAAAATGTCACAAAACTCAGACATGCAACAGTTGTCGGCGAAAAGGGTGAGGGTCTCTTCTCATGCTCACTATACTCGCTTGCTGAATATAGGTCAGTGAGTGAGTAGCTGCCAGTCATGTTCCCGTGAAAAGTATTGTCCTGAGTGGGGGCGTGTTGATAGCAGCGGTACGTAAAAAAGGATGCGTTAAGAGCACGTTTTGGTTTAAGGTGGTCACATTGAGCTGCAGTCACAGTGTGAAGTATGTCACGAATGACGAATATTTTGGCTAGTACACGGTTTTTATGCAAAGCCAGAATTCGATTTACCTATGCATTATGACACTAAAGTTCATTGGTTTAATGGGCACACGTTTACTGGCTGGTTGATCAGCACGTACCAAGCAGCCAAATTGAAGACGTTAATACACTAGATTACCGTTATTTCGATGATTTTTGTAATTCAGTATTTGGTTCATTCGGACATTATTTTAGGTCCCGTGAAATCCAAATTAAGGAAAGTTTATGATGGTTACAATTGAAGAGCACCTTACTGACCTGTACATTATTTCATTCCAATAACTGTTCTATCTTGTATGGGCACATTTTACCTGTGCCAGCATTTTTGTGTTTTCTTTTTTGTTGTCTTGCTGGTATTATTCACCGTCACAATTTCTCATATAGCGCTGAATGGCGTTGCACTATATATAATAAAAGAAACAAATATACAAATAAATAAGAAAATAAATAGATAAAAACTAGCAGTTCTGTGCACAAATGCAACCAATGAGCGAAGCTCCTTAAAAATGAGACGCAAAAGACTATGTACATGATTTCGCTGCCGGCGAAATTGGTGAGCGGGTGAGGAAAGCGTCTGCTATGCTCCATGGCGGCAAACAACTTAGCGAGTGAGTGTGCGGCGTGCGCAGAGCAACGCACGCCATCTGGCGCCACACATGAGCTCCTGCACCTGTTGTTTGGCTCAGCACGCTTGCCCGGTGTAGGAGGTTCGACGGGCATCGACGGAGTGCGGGCCTAAGGAGCTTTGCTCCTCATATATAAATAGATAAATAAATGCATAAAGATTACTAAATAATTTGTTACAGACACCGCATTTATCCTTGTATTTCTTCCCCTGTTCAAACATTGAGACATCGTGTGGTCGCGTTAGTGCTGATGACACGATAGCCGTGTTTGCTGGAAAAGCGAATATCGTTAGCTCCACTCTCCTTCTTGGGTGCAGGATTCCCGACCGAACGCGCGATGTGCCGTGGCCGCTGTACCGAAGGCACCGGCGTGAGATGGCCTCCATTTCGTTCAACCGACTTCGCATCAACAGCCTGCCGGACGATAAGCGCTGTCGCGGACTAGCGTGGAACTCACGCTGGAACAAAATGCGCGTCACCACCTTCATGTGATCGCTCACAAGAGGCGCACTCACGGCGGTTTCCAAGAAACGCATGTTACCCTGTCGCCTTCATGATTTGTTAGTTTGCATGTTGGTTTCCACGATGTTCTCTGTGGTTACGAGAATAAACACGTTTTTTGACCTAGTACTGTTGTTCGATGAACTCTAGTACAATTTTTTTTTCCTGTGAAAAGAAGTTATCCTTTTGGGGGAAACAAACGTTAACAGAATTGTCAAGCTCGACAACACGACTGCGTGAATTGGTAATATCTCTCGGCAGTGCAGGCAAAAAGCTGCAGCCAATACTACCGATCAATGTTTTATCCTCTTCATAGGCGTGCGCGGCATTCCCCTACAATTGTGGGGGTAAAAGTTCGTGGCAGTGCCCCCTTCCCCTTAGGTGAATGTATGGCAGACCTGACGGCACCCCCAGCGCCGTCTTTGCGGCCCCCTCCCCCCACTTCTGCGTGCGCACGCCTACGATCATTTTTGTGCAATGGAAAGATTTCATTGAAGTGCGAGATGAAGTGATGATGAGTGGTCGATGACAAAAATATGCGTACAGTTTACGTATTGCAGGGTGTATACGAATGCATAAAAAGGAGTATTTTATGAAATCTTTAGTTGCTTTAGTTGCATTAGGTATAAAAGTTGGGGTATCCTCAAGCTACTGCCTTTAACAGTTGAACGCTATAGCGATATTGAGTTCCCTGTGCGCACTTCAAACACTTAATGTAAGAAACCTTTTCGAACTCGCTATGCACATACTACATGGCCTTAATGGTGGAGTAGCGACGGTGCGTTTTGTAGTGGGTGACTGGCGTTAAATTATGAAGTCGTCATGATAATCCCATGTTTTGACGCCCGACGACTATATCCGCTTGTATGATGTATTATTACTGCAATTTTTCAGGTTGTATTGAGAAGCATGTATACAGGATGCGTGTGTTTTTAAGGCGTGAAAGTTACTTTCACTGCATTTCCAAGCAGAGAAACTTATTTTCACAGTACTCACAAGCAGAAGCGTGGCTGTGTGGTAGAAGACCCGCTTGCCATGCAAACAACGGGGATTCGATCCCCATACAAATTCAGAATTTATATTGTTTATTTGACTAGCGTCTTTCTCTTTTTTACAGCGAAAGCTGTTATTTCACAAAATGGTTCACGCCCGCCACCGATGCCGCCAGTGTCCGTAACCACTATCACACAAAATAAAGGAAAAGAGGTCAGTAAATAAAAACACCGAGCACACTGGGGGGATCGAACCCGTGTCTGCTGCTTTCCAGCCCAGTATTCTACTACTTAGCTATGCCGGTGCTTCGGACTTGTTCGCGAACTTGTCTTAGGCAGGCAAGATGTCGCGAAATGAATCGCGTTATTATGAGTAATAAAGCGTTTTAGAACTGCAAAAGAACAACCAGGTTTTCACACAATAGGAATAGCGTAACAAGTGGGTCGTCCAATGCTCCTACCCATTAAAAAAGCATGCTCTTGATTCCCTATTATTACATGTTGCACATACCCATTTGAGGCATAATTCCTCATCGTCGTCAGCCACTGAATGAGCAATTGGCCCAAAATTCGTCGCAATAGTTTAGTTGGTACCACGCTTCTCAGGAAAAACGACCAAAAGTAGCGTAGTGAATGCCGGCCTGCTACTTATAAAGCATGATTATTTTTGACGTAACCCAGCAAGTGCGCTTGTAACAGTTACCCAAAGAATATTTAGAAAATGCCATGAAAGGGTGCTCTTCGTGCTTTTGCTTTGACTGTTCTGTGCGTTACGCGCCAGCGTGGTATTTTTTCGGTGACGCAAAAATGCTGGATTATTCGGTCACGCAAAGATGATCATTTTTCGCTCACAACCAATGACGCCGACCCCGATGCCGGAATTTCTTCAAAACCACCTATTTTACGTTATCGCGGTAAATGTTGAAAGATTCTTGTGCTATGCCTCAAGAGTATAGACATTGGGCTAGCGCAATAGGTGCCATCACGTTCTGAATCGTCAGCCACGGTGAACACCTCAACCGAGCCGCCAAATTAGGAACATATCTACGCGTAATACTAGCCATTTGGAATTATCCTACAATTTCCATTACAGGTACGGTGGAGAGGTGCCCATTACGCCATATTTGTTCTTTTTGTCAATAGGCGAAGTACGCTCCACGATATGTGTCCAAAAGGCAGCACGCGAATCTGCGCAGCTGTTCGCCTGGTATGTGTTTGCTGCAGATTACTGAAATAACGGAGTGAATGTAATCGGGGGTAGGCTGTAAACCCCTCACTCGTTGTGTGAATTGCGCATCTTGGTTTCCTAACTATATTCCGCATTAGATACATTACGACTTCTCGCATTACGTGAAAATCACGTAGGGTTTTATCAGATGCACTTGTAAGCAATCATGTGACTATGTGCTAGCGCACGCTCCCGCCATGCTGCAGGCCTGGGTTCGATACTAAGACTGAAGTTTTTACTGCTTTTTTGCATATAACTCGAATTTTCACTCACGCACAACGCATATTTTTTGCGAAAAGCCAACGATACCAACGGCTACGCCGACACCAACCACGCAACCATCTCTTTAAAGGTACCACGTTAAAATGACTCTGGTTAGGAGTTTTCGGTGTTACAAAAAAAAACAAACATTGCGGGGAAGTCTTTTTTGAAAGCGATAGCGTAACCAGGCCTCGTACGCGCCGCCTTCTGAACTGCTAGCTTGTTTCGGTTCTCTGTGCACGCCGAAACTGCGCCACGAGGAAGCGAACGTCTTCCGCGAATCAACTAAGGGCTCAAAATGTCTCTAGAGCAACACTGTTCACTTTGTCGGTGTTTCTGCTGCAGCTGATTATTGAACATGCCGGAGTGCATTCTAATGGGTTTAAAACACCCACTCGTTGCTCAGCCAGCATTTTATGACAGATGGCGTGAATCTACGATTCTGCCCCGCAATGCATAAGGCAATAATGTGACATTCATATAGCATTTCCAAATGGTAAGCGTTTTTTAAATGCGAAGCATTTCTTAGCCAACTTCGGCGACTTTAAGCCTATCTATCTATCTATCTATCTATCTATCTATCTATCTATCTATCTATCTATCTATCTATCTATCTATCTATCTATCTATCTATCTATCTATCTATCTATCTATCTATCTATCTATCTATCTATCTATCTATCTATCTATCTATCTATCTATCTATCTATCTATCTATCTATCTATCTATCTATCTATCTATCTATCTATCTACGACTTTTAGCTCTCCTGGCCGTTTCGATAATGGTATCAATACCAAACTTGGTATGTCATAACATGACTCTATGAAGAACATATTTGACTAATCATAACATAAAAATCATGACATGTACGTCATGATTGTGATGTACATTTGATGGTCCTGCAGCTCTTGGGGTGGTTTCGTTTGGATGCATGTTGCGAAACTCGTATGGTATTACATGATTGCATGGCGAACACAAGCGACAGACCCTAACATGAAAATCATGACATTCGTGCCATGTAGCAAAATGACTACATGCCACGCTCGTGATGCGCTCGCGGCCGTTTCGCTTGTGTGACAAATGCCAAATTTGGTATTACGGTGCTTGAATGAATGAAGAGGGTATGTGACTGGTGCAAACATGATAATTATGAGATGCGTGTCATGTAATAACATGACTATGCCACGCTCATGATGTGCTGGCGGCTGTTTCGCTAGCTTCCCTTAAACAAAATTTGGTATTGCGGGACGTGAATGAATGACGAAGGTATGATACTGGTGCAAACATGATAAACATGAGATGCGTGTCACGTAACAATATGACTACATGGTACGCTCATGATGCCCTCGTGGCCATTTCGCTAGCTTCACAAGTACCAAACTCAGTATTACGCGGTGCCAATGGATGACGAAGGTATGAGACTGATGCAAACATGATAATCATGAGATGCGTGTCATGTGAGAACATAACTACGTCTCACAGTTAAGACGCCAAAACATTTCGACGTGACGCAGCGCGCGTGCTCACCGGCGTTCATTTCGTCGCGTCACGCCGGCGTTGCCACGCCAGGTGCCGGTCCTGCCATAAAGACGTAGGAGCACGCCGCGCTGCGTTGATTTGACGCATGCGCGTTTCGGCGTGTCCGGCGTTCCTCCGTCACGAAAAGAGGGAGGCGCAGAGTTGTCTGGATAGTTAGGTTCGGACTGTCATGGTGGATGGACGTGTTTTTTGAGCGCTCCCGATTGACTGCGCAGATAAGTGTTTTTGGATGTTTTGAGCTTGTCTTTATTTATTTATTTGCAATACTGTCGACTCCAATGTTGGAGTCATTACAGAGGGCACATTGCAGGTAGTATACATTCATGAAGAACAAACAATAACATTCCAACTGACATACATAAGCCTCACCCAGTACCTTCTGGCCTGCTACAGTGCGCCGTGCAAAAAAGAAAAAGAAAAGAGGAAAATAGCAAAGGTATGTGAAGCATTGAAGCACTACTGTAGATTACGCATGGTTTCTAACACTGCGGTGAATGTGGATAGTGTATCGGCATTAGTAGCATTTGCATTCAGTTTATTCCATTCGCGTATTGTTAGTGGGAAAAACGATTTTCCAAAGACGTCACTGTTTGAGGAATATTCTTGCAGACTGTATTTGTGGTTATGACGAGTAGGGCGTGACTGTGAAAATGTGACGTACTTAGACACATCTACCTTGTAGTGGCCATGTAACAACTGGTACAAGAACCTCAGGCGTGCCTCTTTTGCCCTAGTAGCTAGTTTTTCAATGCCAGAAGAAGCCAGAAGGTTTGTGGGAGAATCTGTACGTTTGAACTTGTTGTGTACAAACCGTATGGCTTTGCGTTGTACTGCCTCTAATTTACTAATACCACTTAGCGTATAAGGAAACCAAACTACGTTGGCATATTCTAATACTGGTTTGCAGCTTAAGGCGCGAAAACGACACGGACGAAGAGAGACAGTACACACACACGGTCTCTCTTCGTC